TTTAAATTTCGTTCCTATTGGACCGAAAAGTAACGAAACGCATGCGTATGAGATCGAAATGCATGTAGAAAACATGGCAATTGTAAGGTTGTGACAGATTTCCTAACTTCAATAGTCGGCAACTTTAACGCTATCTCGGTTCGCGGGGCAGAGCGACGCTTATTTCTGCCAGATTCTTTCGTATTACGGAGAAACGCTTCGAATGAGTATAATTTAATCGATTTTTGAGAGGATTACCCTCCATTGCACCTTTACCCAAACAAATATTTTATATAATTTTTGTTTTCACAATAGAGAATTTGTTTTTAAAGAAGAAAATTTGTGTTTTTAAAACAAAGAATTTGTGTAACCTTCTGTACATTTTATTTCCAGATTCTTTCGTTTCATGCAAAAACGCATTGAATGAACATAATTTCATTGAAATTAAAAAAAGATGAGTGTCTTCTGGATAATTATTATTAAAGCAGAAATAATATATGAACAAATGTAAATAAATTTCAAGAGACATAAAAGAAGAACATTCTAACCTTGGCAAAGACGATGAATTATGCTATTCCGTGCGTCTAAATACGTGACTATTGGTGGTTTGTAAACGGCAAATATTCCATTTAATGCTTTCCATGCTATTCTAGCGTCAAAAACCAGTTTTTTCGGTTTCGAAGCTAGAGTATTTATCATCTTATCGAAAATACGACAGTAAAAGGTAAAAGTGTGTAAGGTATAAATTTGTATAAATAAATTAATGGCGAATTCGGTACACATGCACTGACTCTGCTCTGGTGCTGCCCTGACATGGTGCGAGTGCAAATCACTTTGATGCTATTGGCTGTTTTCCAGCTAGGACACAGAAACGTTACACTGTGCTCCACTGTGTAAAGACTTGTTGGAACGATAGAGCTCTAATTGGTAACACTGGCATACTCTACACGTTCGTACTTAGCTTTTTACAGTGTCGAGCAGTGTAACACTGTGTCACAGTTGGAACACTTTGTGTAAGACACAGTGTTACACTGTGTCATCTGTGTACGTTGTTGGAAAACACCCATTAGCAGAGAGAAACCTGAGGGTGATTTTACATGCAGCGCGGAACGCGGTAGGCGGTAAAGTAACCAGGAACCGCGGCGGCAAGCCGCGGTACGCGGTATGCGGTACGCGGTGAAGTAACTATAAGGTAATTAACCTGAAAAGTTAACGCAAATTTCTTCCAAGTGGCCAATAAAGCGCATGGTAATTATTAGATTTAATCGATTTAATAATGTTATCATGGCCATCAACATCATATCTGCAGTCTCCACGACAAAAACAGTCTTTAATTAATGCAAAAATCGTTTTTTTTTCCTACCAAACTCCGAACTCCGAAATTATTTCTCTTTACTTGGCAGTATACACAGTATATACCTGTGTTAATTTCTAGTTATGCACCCAGCTGACCGAGCCGATGCCGACCATGTCGTTATCGTTCCGCCTTTCTTTTTTCCTACTATTACATGGAACGCGGAAAGGCGGCACGGTATAGTGACAAGTTCACATTTGTATGCATTTTCTTAAATGTATTAACTTATTTCTATGCACATTTTATCAATAATCTTATTTTTTCAACGAATCTGCTTAATAATTGCATTTAAATCTATTAATTTCATTAAAAAGTGCATAGTAACGTCAACTTGTCACTAGTCCGTGCCGCTTTTCCGCGCAGTTTTGGCTCCATGTAATAATAGGAGAAAATTAGCGCGGCTTACCGCGCGCGGTTCCTAGTTACTTTACCGCCTACCGCGTATGTATGTACATACCGCGTTCCGCGCTGCATGTAAAATCACCCTAATCGTAAGGTCTGAAGCAAATCGACCAATCACAATCAAGATTACGATCTCACATTTTAATACGCTAAACTGTGATGAACAAATTTACTTAAGTGTTTACCAATAAAATTATAAATACTTTAGTGAAAATTTACTCTCTTTTATCATTTTCACCTCATTTTAAAATATATAATCGATGCCCTGAGTCACATCAGGCCTGTTGCGTTGCTTATACTTCTTATACATAACAACTTCGTTCGTTCTCTCTCTCTCTCTCTCTCTTCAACGTATATATATTTATCTCGTCAAACATTTTGGGGATTTTAAGCGAACAAACCTATATCACAGTATATACAGTAGCGCAACTCTCTGTCGGCACCTTTGATGTTAGTGAAGCCTAAAATGGAGTGCGCATGCGCGGCCGAGGCGCGTAACCAATCAGGGCACTGTATTCTATCTCACTTCTGCTCTCTGTTTATAACCTTTTCTCTCTTTCTAATTTATGTTCTAGCAATGTCCTAACCTAATTTGCACATTTGAATACGCGTACTAACAAGTAACTTTTATAAAATTATCTTAATTTATTTCATTATTCACAGCGAATACAGAAATCTATAGTTCTCGTTTACACTATATAGATATTTAATACTCACAGTGAAAAACGAGACGCATTTGAAAGAGAAAATAAAATAAAAATTAAACATATATAATGCACATTTATTTTATAACACTATATTTTGCAATTAAATATACCCACAAAATATATTATTATTAACTAATTGTACAGCAATATTGTATGTATAGCATATATCTTGTGTATACAATATAATATATACGCAATTAGAACAGAAAGTCACAATAAAGTCAAAATGACATTAGAATGATTGAAAAATGACTTTTAATGATCATTTTGGAACAATTTTAACATCATTTTGATACAATGATGACTTGTTTTGTTTGGATATATAATTAATGTGGTATTTCATATTTTGAAATATCATATGGCTCGAATAAAATTACTTATATTTATTATATTTTTTTCATATTGAATATAGTAACCGCAGATATTAGGAAATGCAAGAATATTCTCTCTCTCTCTCTCTCTCTCTCTCTCTCTCTCTCTCTCTCTCTCTCATAATTTTGTTGGTACTGCATCCGGATGAAGAATAGCTCTACTCTTGCTTATATTGTACCACTTTTCTTCAAAATGTAAGTGGCACAATCTATAAATGCGATGGGCATATTCTGCTCCACTTGCTTCTAAATCTAATCTTTCACACGCACGTATCCATTGCAACCATCTATATAAATATTATTATATTGGTTATTGTAAATACAAATAAAATATAGATAAAAAAATAATAGATATATATATCTACACATATACATATATATATGTTATATATATGTTATATATATGTTATGGTATATATATATGTGTTGTATACAGAAATTAAAAAATATTGAATATTCCAAATATACATATGTTAATATATAGCATAATATACAATAAATTCGTATGTGTTTTAGAAAATAAATGAAATAAAAAGTTGTACCTGTCATGTTCCTTTGGAAACCGAAAAAAGTGTCGTTTTTCCACAATATTTTTATTACAGTCCTCCTTTACGACACACCATCCGCTTGATTTTTGAGCACACATTTTTTTCGCCTTTTAAAATCTCTCCAAATATCTGTAACAGAAAGCTAAGATCAAAGTGCTTCAAGAGAATTTGAAATCTGTACTATTTTTGTACAGATAACCTATTCTCCGTAAAGCTAACTCGGTCTACGTTCTCTGTTTTTTTACACTTTCTTAAACACGTCTGAATACACTGAATAATTATTAAAATTAAACACGTATCACTTATCACTTTATCACACGTAGCACTATTCTCACTGTTTCTCACATAAAATTCGTCGCGTTCCCGCCACTTTCCGTCAAATGGTCCTTTAAATGCCTTATATGGACATTTCAATGGGACTGACAGACACCGACAATAGAAAGAAGAAGTGAGATAGAATACAGTGCCCTAATTGGTTACGCGCCTCGGCCGCGCATGCGCACTTCATTTTAGGCTTCACAAAATCAGGAGAGTTGCGCTACTGTATATACTGTGCCTATATCTAAACTGTGCCTATATATCATATAAGCGCAATAGTCTTTTTACATCATGACTCCGGCACACTATATACAGTAGCGCAACTCTCCCGATTTTATGTTGCCTAAAATGGAGTGCGCATGCGCGAAATAGGCGAAGTACTAGACTGTGCTCTTTCTCTTTTCATCCTTCTTTCGCTCTGTCAAAACGCACTAGATTAACCTAGATTTATTTGCGTCACACTCCAATGAATGCATTGAAGTGAGTAAGAACTATTGTAGGAGCATGTTGGAGAATGAGACACGAATAAATGTACTAATGCAATAAAATAATCTAAACTTAATGGAAATTAATACAAATAAATTGTAAATATATTGGTAAATAAAGAAATAAATGTAAAATAATTAAGAAAAATATTAAATTATCTGAAAAATATATATTTATGTAGAGAAATATTATATAATTGTAAATTTGTAAATATATGCTATGTATATACATATTATCAGAAAGTTGATATAAAAAAAAATTTATAATATATATTATATATTATATATATAATGTGTGTGCAAAAAAATAAATATAAAATACAACAAATAAAAAATGTAATATATTTAGAAGATAATTTAAATTAATAAATAATATCATATACTGAAATAATTTTGATAATAATTATGCCAAGACATACTATATATTATATATATACTTATACAATAATACAAAAATATTGTATGTTAAAATATTAAAAAAGGGAAATTTTTTATTAATGAATTGTTTAAAGGGAACATTGAATAAAGAGAGAGCATAAAGAAGGAGAAAATGAGATAGGGCAACCTATTTATTTCGCGCATGCTCATCGTTACTACATATACTGTGCTAGTGCGTTTTGACAGAGTGAAAGAAGGATGAAAAGAGAAAAAGCACAGTCTAGTACTTCGCCTATTTCGCGCATGCGCACTCCATTTTAGGCAACACTAACATCAAAGGTGCCGACAGAGAGTTGCGCTACTGTATATACTGTGACTCCGGTCTTCTCCTTCTCCGACAGCCCGTGAGATGGATCAGATCCAGACGGGCGTTCCTTCTTGTCGTCTGCAATGTCGAGGGTGAGTTTCCGGCGGAAAATGACCAAGAATCGTATATGTTTCTCGGTCGAGTGGTGTTAGAACCGTCGAAAATCGATGCGCACGATCGAGGATATAGTTGGAGATCCAGAAATGCTTTATCCTTATTGACCATTACTGACAAGCGTGTTGCTCGTTACCCGTGAGTGTCGCGACAACAGAACGTTTTTCATTCATACTCCCAGTGCGACAATTGAATTGAATCACGGAAACGAAAGTGGACGCTAGTTCACTATCGAACGGTCCTTCGTTCGCTGAGCTTCGAAATTTGAAGTATCGACGAGGTACTCGCCACAAAACCATAAGATTATGCAGTGGAATCGAGAGAGAATATAAAGATGTCAAAAGATACTTTTGCTAGCTATTCAATGTAAATAAAGGACAGACAGAAACAAAGAAAAGGAGGGAGAAATTTCACAGATAATACGTGAGGAGACACTATGTTATGATACGTATTTCGACGGGTTCGGAAAAATTAAAGTTCTCCCACGTTCTCAGCTGATTGCAGCTGATCAGGAAAGCTGTAAGGTTTGATTAGGCTTGAATGAATATTGATTACACACACATTGGAAATAATTATTGAACGAAACTTCGTGTTAAGGTAGATGTTAAGATAGATATTGCGAGGAGAAAATAAGCAAACAGATCTTAAGTTAGAAAATGTTAGCAAACAATTCAACATCGGTGAGTATGAGCAGAGGCAGCAATAATCTTCAAAATCGAAACTCTCAGAGGTCCACTCTCTTGAAAGTGGTGATTCTTGGAGATGGTGGTGTTGGGAAGTCCTGTCTTATGAATAGATTCGTGTCAAATCACTTTGACGAACACAGTTTTCATACCATTGGAGTAGAGTTTTTGAACAAGGATATCGAAATCAACGGCGAGGCATATACACTGCAAATATGGGACACAGCTGGGCAGGAAAGATTCAAGACTCTTAGAACACCGTTTTACAGAGGCTCAGACATTTGTCTGCTTACTTATGCGGTAGACGATAGGACAAGTTTTAGAAATCTCGCGCTATGGAGATCTGAATTTCTTAAGTATGCAGATGTTCAGGAGGGTTCCACTTTTCCATTTATTGTTGTTGGTAATAAGGTATGTTATCATAATGAAAAGGAAAGACGTAGAAATGTGTTTTTGAAATGTTTATTATAAAGATAGTCCTTTATGTTCATAATTATAAATTCTTGCATCAGATATTTTTTAGTTTTTTCAAAAATAAAAATTGATATAAAAATGTTGATGTTATTGGATCAATTAATCATTTGACAGAATAATAGGAAAAAGAGAAAAAAGTGAAGTATTACAATGTTTTAGGATTAATCAACTTAAATATCTGATGCACAGATATAAGTATAGTTAGGATTAATTTGAACTTGAGTGTCATGTTGTTATCTACTACTGTCTAAGTATCTACATTGTCAAGATGGTGATAAAAAATAATCAAAATTGTATTTATATCTTTTATGTATCATATATTTATGTATATATGATAAAAAGTCAGTTGTTAATCATAGAATATTGTAATACTTTTTTTCATTATATGATACAAAATTTTTATTTTTATTATTAATTTTTGAAAAAATTAAGAAGTATTTGAAGTTAGAGTTTGGGATTCTTAATATAAACACAAAGAATCTATCTTTTGCAAAAATTGCATTTTAAAAGCTCATTTTTACTTCTAGTTCTTTTCTTGTGAGTAAGCAAGAGCATTATAAAATAATAATATTATGTTGTATAATGTTTTTTTTATAGGTGGATGTTCCTGAATCCGAAAGACAAGTTTACATGGAAGAAGCTCAAGCTTGGTGTTCAGAGAATGGTAATCCTCCATTAGTTGAAACGTCAGCAAAAGACGCCACTAATGTCGAAGCAGCTTTTGGGGCAGCGGTTGACGCATGGGCACGATTGGAAGCTAGATTAGAACGGCCTTTAATGGAAGACACTGTCGATCTTTCTAAACAGCAGTCCCAGCATCGTACGAGCTGCTGCATGCCTATTTCTGGCACCGAGTAGGTAGCTGTAGGTCACAGCTTGTGATTTTCACAATTTTCTTTTTGTGTTCCGATGAAATAATGCATGATACATTTTTCTCAAGATCTACATTTGTAACCAGATAATCGAAATGGTTGGTAAGAAGATAGACACGATATATAGTCTTTATGTGATGCATACTGACATTTTTGGAACAAAAGTTTTCTTTATGTTTGGAAGAGGGATACACAACGTCGCACTATTGAACTCAGAAATGAAATGCTTATTCTATTTAGGATCTATAAGGATACACGTTACACAGTAGAACTGTAAGAGATTATTTTGTTCGGCCTGTGTTTTATTTTTTTGCACATTTATAGTAAGATGCACACAATTCTTTTAAAAGTTTATAGAGAATATGAATGAGCTTGCTAAAAAGTTTTGAATAACTAATCTCTTTTCGGTTTTAGTTTCAGAAATAGATATTTTTACAAATTATATTTAGAATATCGGTTTGTTTACTCTTGGCATACTTTGTTTCTAGGTCTAACAAAGTAATTTGAAGAGAATCTCTTGCCTCTGTCTACAATACTCTCTTCATTATATGGTGAATTTTCTTTATTGACACTGGAATTGCATCGGTTGTGTATATATAGGATATTGTGTTTAAAATTTTTTACTTGGAAAACACCAATTAAAATTTCCAAACAATATACGGACCGCATAAAATATTATTAGCAATGAATGTGCGATTTCTTTATTAGCTGGTTAATATTCTTTTTCTTATGAATCTTAATGAAATACTCAAAAATCGTATATACGACAAATAATATGGATATTGTGATTGATCTTTCCAGAATACAACCTTAAGATATAAGATCAGATTAAACGTCCTTTCTATCAACGCTTTGTGCAGCTCTTAAGCTACTGACAGTATTTTAAGTGTTTAATATACTATCGGCTTGTGATAGTGTACTGATGATAATAATAATAATAATAATAATAAGAGAATAAGAATTATATAGACATAAATTATACACAAGAGGTAGGTGTAAATTATAATTTTAGCTTTGTAATCTAAATTTGCCTTATTCTCGCGATATACATCTGACAATGAAAGCAGTAAAGCAACATGATTTTTATTTAAGTGTGACCTTGCTACAAATTTTTATATTGCCCGTATTTATATGTGAATTCGATGTTTGTACAAAATGTGGCATATTTTTGTCTGCTCTTGGAACGATTTGGATTCTATAAAATTAATATTATGAAAGTGAAACTTTTTGTACCGATCGCGGATACATACGATGCGTTTCTATAGCTCCACATGTCTCATTCAGATGAGGGGTACTTGATTCATTAGAAATATCTCATATAGAGTATAAAGAAAAAGTATGTGCTAATGATTTCTCAATGACACAATTTGGATTGATTGCGTATGAATATGCATGCTGGTGCTTTTTATATATGACTATAGCTGTGGTCGAAGTTTCGCTATAAATGCTTTGAAACGTTTAATTGTGACCAATCAAATAACGCTTTAAAGCATTTGTAGCATCGCGTTGACCGTACTCTATATGTCAAGTATATAAATTTATGATAAAGAGCATAGAATGATGATAATAATAGTTAAGACGTTAAGCGTATAAAACTAATCATATCAAGGTGATGACCACCTCATAATATAAATTAGGCATTCTTACGTCAAATCTCTACAAAATCTATGAATTATTTTTAAAAAATAAACTGCTGCATATATATACAAGTTTTATTTGTGAAGAAGGCGTGTATCAATTGTTATTAATTATTTTTACATATTTAACAAACAAGGCCACTTATCGTGTGTACTGATCTATGCAAAATATATATACATATATATATATATATATATATATGCGTGCGTGCGTGCGTGTGTGCGTGTATGTATGTATGCCTTAAGATTTTGTAATTCTAGAAATCGATTTTGTAAAAAAAAAAATAAACTTCTACTGAGCTTGTTTAAGAATTGTCATATTCTTGTGAATCAGCTACATATCTTTTTTTTTTTTTTAATGAAAAAATGTCCTCAGTTACTATTTACGCATCTAAAAAGAATGTTTTATAAAAATATCTAAATGAGCATCGACAAATGATATAATAAGTATGAATGAAACAATAATTTATAATATGGGAATTAAAGAGAAAAAAGGAATTATAATACTTTCCTTTATATTTTTAAACTCTCTTCTCTTTTTTCGCATTTAAGGCTGTATTTTTTTTATATTTTACATGTAATTTACATATCAACGTATTATAATACGTTAATATATTATAATGGTATGTCTTTACAATTATTTAAAATAGTGTAGCACACTTTTTCCTAAATATTAAATATTGCTGATTTATAACAAATATTTTTATAAAAGAATAACAATAAAAACAGATAGTAAAAATATTAAAGTGTGAAAAAGTGTGCACACTGGACAGTGTATTCTATGAATCTCTTAATAATATTTACAGTTTACCATATTTATATATGTCCCTCAGATTCAAGCTCCTAATGATTTTTTATAAAGATTATATGTAGATTTCGTAATAAAATTATTTAAAATATTTGATCTAAGATAACTTAAGAATAATTAGCTTATTTTTTACGATAAAAATAAGGAATTATAAGAGGTATTAAAAGCTAAATTATGGAACACTAGTAGAATAAATAATTCTCGCCTGTTTGCTGCACTTATATATCCACTGTGTGTCATGAATTTAGAGAACATTGATTCTCTATACGTCATTTCTCGTAGAAGATAACGTACGTAATTTAATCTCCGTCCTCTTATTTTTTTGCATTTCTGCCAGATTGCAGTCGTGCACGTACTTTCACGCAAATACAGTTAAAAGGAGTAGATTAAAGCGATTTACTAAATGCTAATGACAATGTTCCGTAACGTCTACGATCACTGATTTCTTCCAACCGAACAGGAAGTAACCAACGGCAGCACCCAATACCACGGCACAGCACAGCCAGACATTATAAGTCATGAAGATTAACATCAAAAAGTAAGATAGGACGATTTGTATAATGTGCAGAAACGTTTGAAACAGATGCATCCAGGACATCATAGTCGGCCTGCACAGATTAACACGGTTCATTATGTCCAAATTCACTTAACTTTTAACATAACGATTTTCCAGTCTTTTACTACATACGATGATGGGTCAGTCGTGTTCCGGGTTAATTTTCATTACTTTTATAAGTATATAAAAACTATTATAAGTGATTCTCTTATATACGTATACATCTTTCGAAACTTTAACATCTTTAGAAAGTATTTGTAAGTTTGTGTTAAAATATTGTATAGGTACTTGGCTTAGCGCCGAGACACTACCGTGTCTCCAGATATACAAATGTTATAATTATTTGGTGCTTTTAATATAAAAAAATCCACATCACGAATAATTCAGTCGGATATATTGAAAGTTAAAATAGTAAAAACATGCAAAATTTAAAAGATTATTATTTACTATCTATTATTTAATATCTATCATTTGTAGCATAAAAAATCATTTTATACAAAACGGAAAGTGAATATTTATACAGTATATTTAAATTATAATAGTATCAAAATTATTATATTATATTAAAATTAATTTAGATTATGTATTCATATATTAATATTAATATACATATACATATTTAATCGGATATAATTTCCGACATAAAAAAACAAGAAATACTTATTTCAATAAAATAATTTAAAAAATATAAAATTGGATTCCTTATAATTAAATAACAATAATAATTTAGGCTGCTGTTTAGGAGTCAGCGCAGTAAGATAAGCGCACAATTAAATTCTAAAATATACTTTACTATAATTTAGGAAGTACAAATGTATTTGGACGTTTCAGCCATTGTGATTTTGGCCATCTTCAGTAAAAGTGTACAATATAAAATCCTAGCTACGTTGATTATTGTCAGTTATGTAATCCATACGGTAAGCACAATCATTCGCCTTTGAAATTAATAAGCTTTTCCTAGTGATGATTCTGTTTTTTCTATGTAAAATTAAATGTGTGTTATAATAATTACATCGGATAAAAATTAAGCAAGAAATTGTGTTTACCCAAAAATCCGTAAATTACACAATGAATAGGTTAAATTTATTTCGCATTTCGATGTAACATATAATTAATTTTTATAAAATTGTTAAACATATACATATATCTTCAGAAATAATGTCCTCTCTCTACCACATTCAAATTGACAATATACAAACGCTGTTATAATACAAAAGCCAAAAGGACATGCATATAGGAAACTAGTAAATAGATACGTTTACAATTTATTTAGTATGTCCGTGTAAATTCGATCTAAACCATCGCAATCATTTTGTAAATTAAGACCGATGGTTTGTCGTTTAATATGAATCATTTCTGAGACTAAGAGTTTATATTGTAATAGCTCTCCACATCCAGAATATTCACATTTTCCCAATCAAACTCATGATCGTGATGTATTCTATGTTCTGTTATAGTGGACATGGACATGGAGGGTCTACATATATTTTTTTGGTGTTCTTTTAATCTTGTTTTTAATTTTCTACCCGTCTGACCGATATATGAAGCGTCACAATCCTTACAATTAATTTTATATACATTTCTTTTTTGATTATTATTTAAAGGATCTTTATGTACTCTAATATATTTATTTAATTTGTTTAAGCTAAAATATGAAATGCTATATAAACTTGTTAGTTTTACGTTAGTTTCTTTTAATAACATGTACAGAAGAATTGAGTTGTAAAAAAAATTAATAAAAGTTTATTAATTAATCTCAATAGTCAATAATACAAACTTAGTAGCAAGAAGATATACTCGTACAAGAAAGAACGAAAGAAGAACGCAATTGTAGACGATATTGTGTTGTAATCTAATATCTAGCTTCATACCGCCTAAACTTCCTATAGCTTGATACACCTATAGATCACTTTATTATTCCAACAAAACTGTTGTTAATAATGTTTATAAATTAAAATTTCTATATTCTTTACACCATGTATAGACCCTCGTTTTCCATGTCCACTATAACAGAACATAGAATGCATCACGATCATGAGTTTGATTGGAAAAATGTGAATATTCTGGATGTGGACAGCTATTACAACAAACACTTAGTCTCAGAAATGATTCATATTAAACGACAAACCAACGGTCTTAATTTACAAAATAATTGCGATGGTTTAGATTGAATTTACACGAACATACTAAATAAATTGTAAACGTACCTATTTACTTGTTTTTTATATGCATGTCCTTTTGTACTATAACAGCGTTTGTATATTGTTAATTTGAATGTGGTAGAGAGAGGACATTATTTCTGAAAATGTATATATGTTTAATGATTTTATGAAAATTAATTATATGTTACACCGAAATGCGAAATTTTAACCTATTCATTGTAATCTACGGATTTTTGAGTAAATACAATTTCTTGCTTAATTTTTATCCAATGTAATTATTATAACACACATTTAATTTTTTATAGCAAAAACAGAATCATATCACTAGGAAGCTTATTAACTTCAAAGACGAATGATTGTGCTTGCCGTATAGATTACATGACTGACGAATAATAATCAACGTAGCTAGGATTTTATATTGTACACTTTTGCTGAAGATGGCCAAAACCAATGGCTGAAACGTCCAAATACATTTGTACTTCTAAATTATAGTAAAGTATATTTTAGAACTTAATTGTGCGCTTATCTTACTGCGCTGACTCTTAAACAGCCGCCTAAATTATTATTGTTATTTAAATACTTATTTATTCTGAATAACTCAATTTTATTAATTATTAAGTATTGTTTATTTAAAGAATAGCATCACATTTAAAGCCGATTAGAGATGGAATTGTTTAGTAAGTACTCGTTACATGGAAAAATTATTTGTGAAAGTAAGAAGTACATATATGAGTATGCATGCATATATTCCATTCAAAACATCAATAATTAAAAGATGAAGGAATTTATGATATCAAAAGTATAAAAATGGTTAGTTATGCATGTTGAAAATGACAAAATGATATTTTTTTTACGCCCAGCAAAAGACCTATTAAGAAATCTATCATAATTAAAATGTATTATGCATACGTTTTAATAATGTAAGAATCATTTAACAAAACATAAATAATTTGCTACTATTGTTGCTATTTACAAACCGATTCAATTAAATAATTAAAAAATACAACAACCGTTAATAGATAAAGCATAATTCTGAGGAAATCTCAGTGTATCGTAAGATCTACTTACGGTTGTTTGTGGATTACTTCGCCAACCATACTAAAAAAGTAGATTAAACGATTAAATTTATAATATAAAAGTTATACGTGTATTATTTATATTCTTAGTGATCCTGCAAAAAATATTGCGTCTTGATTTTTTAATGTATTACAATATGTTCTCATAATATCTCTGAGATGTATATCTAACATTTTTCACATATCATTTTTCTCTCATACAATAAAATTATATTAATAAATATTCTTAGCAAAAATAACGGGAAATAATGCTTTTTACAAGATCACTCGGAAAGAATTAAACAACTTACTGAACGACCCGGTTGTCTTCGGCTACCACATTCTTCTCATTGGGCACCGTAACGCTTCTATATTGCAGGGCGTTGTACGTTTTCCAGAATAGATACTCTCGGTAATATTTTAAGCCCTCATAGAGCGCAGCCATAATAGCGATACCAATCATCGAACCAATGAGACCGCCTATCGATGAGATTTTCCAATTTTCGAATAATACTACCTCACAGTAACCGGTGTGGAACATCATCTGAGGATCGTGAAGAGCAGACTATACGTTAACAGCATCGAGTTTTGAACGAACGGATTATACGTACCGACATACCGTGCATGCCCATGCCACTGCACATGCTGTCTGCCGAAGCTTCGATACTGTGCATGCTCCCATGATCTATACTATGATGAGTCATATGCATATCGTGGGATACGTTTCCTGTATTGTCCATTATATGATGATCATGAGACATCTGGAATAAGGAAAGATGTTTAACTCTGTATGTATTTCATGACCTGTTATACACATTTGAGAAGCATGTGTAATATACATATGTGTATTATAGTATTATAGTAACAGTAGGTATCTTTTCCAACAAGAGACATAGATAATAGTATAAAATAAAAAGGTCAAGCCATGTTCAAAAAAAGATCCTCAAAAGTTTAAACCTTTTTATCTATTATAATAATAATATATTACCATAAAAAGTAACTGATATATTATTAATTAAAGATGCGAGTTCAAAGTGAACATACATAATGTGTATGCAACTTTTGGTCGATTTTCGAATCGCCTCCGTCTTCCGCTGTCTCCCTCACCTCATCGCGCTTTACGCGCAGTCCAAATGTCGCACGACCGCGGTCGAGCATATGTTCAGAACGACTTGACTGATTTTAAATTTTTCTAGCTCAAATCACTCGTGCCGATGCCGCGTATATATTACGTGCGATTCAAAATTTTTTGTATTTTAGTAGCTATGTACCCCCCCAAAAATAAACTTTAGTGACTCGGAATAAGAGACTTGTAGCGTATATTATTAATCTTTTAAATTTAAATTAACTAGTAGTTTTTTGAACATAGCCGGAGACACTACGGCATCTCCTGATCATTGCTAAATATTAGACAAAGATGAAATAATTTACTTATAAATAATTATGTTACACTGTGTCATCTATATCTTTTGCTGGAAAGCATCCGGCAATTTTTACAGTATTTTCATAATTGATGATGAAGACACGAAAGAGATTTCAAGAATTTCAAAATCAATCTTATTTTTTTAAATACAAACATGTTTTTTCTTGCATAAGTTGATTTCTTATATATTCTGCATATAGATTTAAGTAAAATTATTATTTTCATTTTTTATTCATTTTTTATCATACTATCGATTATGTAAGAAATGAAGTAAACATATATGACTATAAAATTTTTTTAAACCTCACATTGTTACATTATAGCTAATTCGAAAATAATATAGACTTTCTTTTAAAGAATTGACATTAAAACGATTATTTTAATTTAAATAATATATCAGGATGTATAAACTTTTATTGGACTGCGATTAAGAAATCAACGTACAGTTGGACATATGCAAGATAATACAAATGAAAATATGATATATACATATGAATCGGTCCATGCAAAAAGGGTACTAAGTCATTTTAGATAGTTTTTGGAAAAATGAAAAAAACTGATTTACTTTACATACAGAATGAATAATAGAAATGTTATTCAACAGAAATGTCATTTTTATGCAATTACAATAATACATACATGGTTTTATGCTTAAAGTTAAAGGGTGTTTTAAATAATTATAAAAAACAGTAGTGGATTTAGTGCTCTTTTTGCATGGATCACGATTAAATCGAAATAAAACAAAGCATTTTATGACATAAATCTAACTTTTTATTTGCAATTTATTGGCAACAGTATAATTACATTCTAGGATGTTTTAATCACAATTATCTTCGTCTATCTCATTAGTAATAATAGGCCACTCGATCAGAGAATTATAAAAATCTAAATATTTATCGGGTATATATTGTCCTAATTTTTTTAAATCATCAATTTTTGCTTTTTTTATCGGAACTTGGCCGCTAGGGTAAGCTGCATCAGTGGGTAATTGCAAAATTGACCGTTTTCGCAAAGAGAACGTGTGTTTTACGGATTCTTCTATAAAATTATAAGCAGATAGTACTCCAGAAAATTAAGTATAAGTTAATTAATTATAAGTTTTCCGAAAGATAAAGAGCGAATCATTATTAGTAAACAGACCCTGCTTAATAACAATGATGTTAAATCGTTCATATTTGATATTATACAACACGCGATATAAAGACATTAAATTTCCAATTTATGCAAAAAGGGATCTAAGTCCAGGACTTAGATCCCTTTTTGCATAAATCGGACAACAGGAAATGAAGATTAACAACTTTAATATGTATCAAACGATAGATCTGGGCTTTAAAATTAAGAATTTATCATTATCTCAATTTCGCCAAAAATGGACTTAGTACCCTTTTTGCACAGAGCAATTCATATGTATAATGACAAAAATCTTTAATCCGCGTACACATTGCGTTAAAGTTGTTGGAATTTCCAATTTTCTATGTATGACTTTATGTTAAAAATATTTCGAATATGTATTGAAATCAAGCGGATGATCATAAAACAACTTCGGAAAAACAACATTTGAAAAAACAACTACTGTAAAAAACTATTGGGAGTACAAATTGGTTCGGTTAGTTTTCCAAAAGATGATCGCCTCCAAAGAGTCCAAAGACGAGTCATTTTTTCGAGATGGAATTCGAAAATTGCCTGAGAGATGGGAAAAAGTAACCAGCGATGGACAATACATTAATTAATCTGTTTTCATTCATTTTGTTTTGAAATAAATGCATTTTTGAACACAAAAAACGGACCAAACTAATTTGTACACCTAATACTTATGCGGATTTGCACAAATGAATTTTTTGTTCGCTAAATGCGATTAGCAAACAAAATTTTTGAAAAGAAAAAACAGACATCTGATGTGTACTTTTAAACAGTCATCAACGATATCATGAAGAGCCATAATTAGAACTGCAAAAGATTATACCTACTTACAATTATATAGTACCTATATACATTATACATATGTATATAAGTGTCTCTCAGTTTTTGAACAGTTTTTTACAAACTAGTAAATTTTAGAAAAATAAAATTATAAATACATAACAAAATTATATTCCATATTTCAAATATTGTACTTAAATTGTAACTTGTAATTTAGTTTTGTAAGTATATATAATATATATTAGATTTTTTACTGAAAAGAAATACTATTAATCGATCACAAAATTTGTTGTTAACAGTAATTCACCTCTGCAATTTTGAGAGATGTAAATAAAGAACGAATAAAAATTCAGAAAAACCGGACGATAATAACGTCAAAAACAATGAACGAGGAAAGTTGATACAATAAGATGGCGAATTGTGATATTAAATAAATAAAAATGTACACATAAATAAATATCAGAATATTACTTAGGATTGCAGTGACATCGATAACAAGCGTATATAAAACATTTCTCGATGCTTCGGGATCTTATCGATCGACTGAATGATACGTGTTCGTTTAAAAGAATCACTGCAATACTGTTTATTTATAAACAAGCCAGACGTTTAGCTGGAACTATGACGATAAAGTGCAACGATAAAGAATTAAAAATAAACGATAATTGAGAAAGATGATAAATCATTAAAAATTTTTGATGCGTCTTCAAATAATCTATTATTATATAATAATAATCTATAATAATCCGTATAACGTCATCTGCGTTTTCATCATTATGAACATGTATTTATAGAATAAACTTTTCACGTGTAGCGACAAGATCGTAAAGATTTCGTATAAGTACAGAATAGTACAAATGCGATGTTTGTTTCGTGTTATGTTTTGTGTCATGTTCAGAAGAAAAAATACATAAGCAACAGATAATATCTCGGGAAACGTGCTTATATGTGTATTCGCTGATACATATTAACTATTTCTCGTATAACCACTATTGTTCCAATTTCTCGATGAAATGAAACATAACGATGTGGAACGAACAGGAACTTGAACTATCGTTACAAGTACTCTTGTATCTTTAATATTTTTCATTGGCTATCTCGACATTCAGGTAGTGTCGCGGTTATCTTAGTCCAAGATTGCATAACACATAATCGTTGTATTATAGTATGTAGGATTATGTACCAATAGTCGTCGAATAATTATTAGAATTACTATTATAAACTCTCGCAAGACATCTCGTTAAACATGTTGTAATAAAACTTTAGGAGTTTAATCAATTTATGCACAATTTCTTTATTTCTAGATAATCTTTATCCAGGAGATATCTACCAGAATACAATGGAAATATCTCCTGGACTAAGTTATCTGCAACTTATTTGGAAATGAAGAAATTAGGCATTAATTAAAAAGTGAATAAAGTAAACTATTATCAAATTAGAAACAGAACGTATCAATTAACAGGATCATATTAACTCGTTTTGTATCCACAAGCTGAAATATTGAGTTAAGGAAAGTCCTTTTACATATATGTAAAAGGACCCTTCCCCAATCCACCATTTGTTACGAAATTTTCGTTACAATTATATCATTTAATAGAACAAAGTTTTAACTTTAAAAAAATTTAAATTGCGGTATGATAATTTTTAACGGAGTTATAAGCAATCAAAATCAAAATACTCTCTCTCCTTTATTTAACTTGCAAATAACTCAGGAACAAAAAATTGTAGGAATATTTAAAAAAAAAGATTTTGTAGAGAAAGCTTCAAGCTTTTATGATAGTTGAAAATTTTTGCAAATTTTTTTTGCGCATGTAAAAGATCCACGAAGTAAAAAGAAAATTTTTTATCCTTTTCAGAGATCGTAGTTTTATATATGTAAAAATGACCAAACTCATAGAAATTTAAAAAATATAATAACCTTTTAAAAGTAGAGATTTCAAGCTTTAAGGGGTTTAACCATCCTAAAATTTAAAAAAAAACCGAAAACGCGCGCGCACGCACACAAGAAATGTAAATCCGACCGAGCAACCTCCACATGGTACATCTTGGATAATTCCAGGAAGTAAGATATAAGGAGACTCCACTCCGTAAAATAAAAGTGGACTCATTTTAGGTTTCGAGTTCAGTTTCCGATTCTGATGAGTGCGAGTAAGAGAAATGATCATTTCTCTTACTCGCACTCATTATGCGCAGTACTACTAAATTCACGAGCGCTGCGATGTCGAGAATCAGAAACTGAACTCGAAATCTAAAATGGGTTCATGTTTTGTAGACTGGCGAGACTGAGTGGAGTCTCCTTATATCTTCCTTCATGGATAATTCTAATGCCGGCGGAATTTAAAGACTCATAACTCAGGAAGTTCTCATCGGAAAAGAGTTTACGATATGTGTTTTGAAAACGTCTCGACATAACCTACG